TTGCAAGTCAAAGGTATAAACTAGCATGTGACATTTCACAATGGATATATAAAGGACATAGGAAAACTGCTATGACCTTAAATGAAACCCCATCACTGAAGATTTTTCTATATAAGGCACAAATAAGAATTTATTTAGGGTAATTCTAGGGTTTAAGAGAAAATGACTAAGTGAATAATAAGCAAGTTGAGAAAGTTCCTGATTCCAGAAGGAGAAAGACCCATCTCTGTGGAGCAATTGGTTAGCAGTTTGGCTGTTAATTGAAAGGTTGGTGGTTTGAGCTCACCCAGAAATGAGGCAGGCTTTCCTAATTAAGATGGTACACTTGTGGATGAGCTGATTTTGCAGCTGGAGAATGCACATTCCAGAAGGGAGAAAGATGAGATCAGGGGTGTTCAGGGTGGTATGGCCACATAATAGGAAAAGATCTTTACCAACCCCACATCTGACAAAGGACTGATTTCAAAAATATTCAATGAACTCAAGAAACTAGCCACCAAAACACCAAACAATCCAACTAAAAAGTGGGGTGCAGAACTAAATAGAGGAATGAATCTAAAATGGCTGAAAGACACTTGAGAAAGTGCTCAACACCCTTAGCCATCAGGGAAATGCAACGCAAAACAACTCTGAGATACCATCTAACACCGACCAGAATGGCTAAAATCAAAAACATCAATGATAGTTTATGCTGGAGAGGATGTGGAGAAAGGGGAAAGCTCCTTCATTGCTGGTGGGAGTGCAAACTTATACGGCCACTTTGGAAATCAGTATGGTGGTTTCTAAGAAAAAAGGGAATCAGGCTACCTCAAGATCCAGCAATTCCACTCTTAGGCATATACCCAAAGAATGCACATTCATACAACAAGGACATATGTTCAACTATGTTCATAGCACCATTTTTTGTAATAGCCAGAACCTGGAAGCAACCTAAAGGCCCCTCAATAGAAGAATGGATGGAGAAAATGTGGTACATTTACACAATGGAGTATTACTCAGCAGAAAAAAAATGAAATATTGAAATGTGCAGGTAAATGAATGGAACTGGAAGAAAACATCCTGAGTGAGGTAACCCAGTCACAGAAAGGCAAACATGGTATGTACTCATGGAGCAAAGGACTAACAGCCTACAATTCACACCACCAGAGAAACTAGGACCCCAAGAGAAAAACACATGGTCCCCCCAAAGAAGGGGGAAAGGGATAAGAACAAATTGGGAGCACGGGGTGGGGGGTAGGAAAAAGAGAAAGGGAAAAAAGGAGAGGGAGGAGAACAAGAGGAATCAGGAAGACTGAGACAGGGGAAGAATAGAGGAGAGTAAGATAGGAGATACCTTGATGGAAGGAGTCAGTATAGGTTTAGAGAGAGGTCTGGCACTAGGGAAATATTCAGGGATCCACAGGGATGACCTCAATTAAGAATCTAGGCAGTAGTGGATAAGCTGCCTTTGATGTCCTTCCCCTATAATGAGATTGATGACTACCTTGATTGCTATCCTAGAGCCTTCATCCAGTAGCTGATCGAAGCAGAAGCAGGAACCCACAGCTGAAAACTGAGCCATACTCCTAGAATTCAGTCATAGCGAAGGAAGAGGGATGAGCAAAGGAGCCAAGACTGTGCTGGAGAAACCACAGAAACAGTTGACCTGACCTAGTGAGAGCACAGAGACCCTAGTCATAAAGCTGGGGAACCAGCATTGGACTGAACCAAACCCTCTGAATGTGGGTGCCAGCTAGGAGAGAGATCTGAGCAGTCTATGGGGCCTCTATCAATGGAGCCAGTGTTTATCCCTAGTGCACAAATAGACTTTGGGAGCCCATTTCCTATGGAGAGATAGTATTGTAGCCCAAATACATGAAAGAGGGCCTAGGCCCTCCCCCAAATGATGTGACAGCCTTCTTTATGTCAGAGCTCCTAGCATTTTACCCAATAGCCAACATATGATTTTTAAATAAGTAGTAGTGAGACTCCAGGGTGGCAGGGATATTGGAGAAGTACTGTGAAGAGAGTAAAGGTGGTTTTAAAGTCAGGATGTGTAGAAGATGTGGCCTATGGATGTCCTGTTAGAATACACTCAGTAACATTGTGTGTTATGTTCAGTGTGCCCGTCCTGACTGGCACTGTTTGTCCATGGCAGAGGTGTAATGAAGACTGTGTAGATGCAGCATCTCTATCAATACCTACACACACAGAACCCACACACCACCACCACCACCAAAATAAGACACTGTGCATTTTCTCAGAAGAGTTACAACCCTAATGTTCACTTTAGACACCTATCTTTGATTTCCTAAAGTACTCAATATAGTTCAACTTCTGAAATATGGAAATAATACAATCCATTTCTAGATGTTCTGGTCAATGATAGCAGCTCCTTGGAGGATGAAGGTGTGGGTACCAAATAGTGTCCATCATAGAAGAGACTTGATACTTTAAATTTGATATAGTAATACTTGATGCACCCCTTAAGGGGATCAGTGCAGGGAGAAGAGCAGGTGGGTCGGGGAAATAGGGAGGCGGCAGTGTGGGTTCCTGAAAGTGCTGGGCACCGGGTGCAAAGGCAGATCCAGCCACCGAAGTGGTAAATTTAGCAGGAAGACTGACATGTCGCAGAAACTCTGAAGCTTATTCCATGACTTCTGGCAGTTGCAGAAGAGGGGTATAGAAGTGGCATTCAGACAGCACTGAAGGAAATGCATAATGAAGTGGGAGCTCTCAGAGCGCCTGTCATTTGTAAGTCAGTGGTGAGCAGAAGGTAAAAATAGCACTGTGGTTATAGGTGCTTCTGGCCAAGTGGATTGCTTTTTAAACTAAGGCTGATGGTCCCACTTTCGCTCTGCCTCTGTCTCGTCAAAAGGTATAATCACTAAATAAAGGAGAAATTGACCATGCGAAAGAGTGGTAGGTGCTGAGCCAAGGACCTGTAGAATAACAGAACCCTGGAAAGCAGGTATTCTGTTTCTACCTCTGTCCTGAGGGCAATCCAGACTGCCAAAACACCGATCTCTTTCCAAGGTTGGATAAAGTACTCTGGGATGCATATGCTTTCACAAGTGTTCCTAATAGGTTTGTATCAACTTTTTCTGTTGAATTTATTCAGTTTTGTTGCTTACCTGAGAACATCTCATGTTACAATCTCATGTCAATCATTATGAGTAAACATTCATTGTGAAACTTCCCTCTTTTCTTTGTGTTATAACCATGGTGGATGATTGGCTTCTACTCCAGATACCTAGAAGTGACATTTTAGTTATTAAAATGGAACCTTGAGAGTACTTTATTGAAGATTATTTCATTCAGCTTGCTACAACTCTCAAGTGCAAGTCTGGAAATCCATTGCACTCTTAAGATTTTTCTTTTTATAAAAATACAAAAAAAAAGAATGGAGAAAAGTTTATTCTCAAATGGGTTACTCAGTGAATTTAAAGGTTGACCATAACTTGGAATTCATACAGTTGCTTGTGAGGGGTGGGGAAAATGACAGGGTGACTTCATAATTTTATTCTAAAATTAAAACTGATTTTATTTGGCAGGTATGGCTGGTGTATGGATGATCAGACTGAGCTATGTCTGTTATGTCTCATATGTCTTAATGATCATATCAACTCCAGTGAAAAGAGGAAGCAATTCAAGGATTATGAAAGCCTCTAGTAGGGGTGGGGAGGAGAACCCCCTCTCTCTGTCCCCTCCCACTAAGATTCTTAAAGAACTTGTGTGTATTTACACCAGTAGTCTCTACTTCCTCCTTCTATTGTAATGAAAACTTGCATCATAGTCCCCTAAGGAAGTATTAAATATTGCACTTTTGAAATGCAAAACAAAACCCCCCCTTTTCATGCTTTACAATTGCAAAAAAAAAAATCTAAAGATGCAAGTCTATAAAATTGGTAACTGTGCTGCTGTTGAAGTCTGTGAACCACTATTTTATAAAATATAGAGAAAAATGGAGAAACGTTAGCTCTCAGATGCATTATTTGATGAATGGAAAAGTTGGCAGTGATAAACAGAGAGCTACCTTTGTATTAATACTGTCCACCAGCAAAGTTTGGTGGAAGCAATAGATGCCAGCTTCATGAGCCTATGTTTAAGAGTGTATTACCATTTTAGATTTCGCTGGCAATGCAACCACTTGTCTTCACCAGCGTTGTTTTATGCCCCCAGTTTCACAGGTATGTGCTGCTATGTTACTATAGTTATGCGATGTTCATAGCCACAAACAGCTAATGATTTGAAGCATCCTTTTATATTCTTGGTTGATTTGCCCTTTGACCACGTGTGTATTTTTTCTGGTGAAGTCTCTATTATAATCTTTTGTCATTTTAAACATTTTTAACTGTTGGTTTTAGGAATTTTTCATATATTCCAGACACAAGTCTTTTTGTGTATATATGATTTTTCCAACATTATTAATTTTTCAGTTGTGTTATTTGCAGAACAAAAGTTTGGCATTTTAATGAAAAATTGTAACTTCCCAAAAATTTATGGATGTGCTTCCCGCTTCACATTGAAAGATCCATGCCTAACACACAATGTCCTTCGGAGGGTATGTCCACTCTGGGCAGGCATTGGTAGGTTAGAGCAGCGGTTCTCACCTTTGAGTGTCACATATCATATCTCTTGTACATCAGATATTTACATTCTGATTCATATCAGTAGCAAGATCATACTTATGAAGTGACAACGAAATGGTTTTATGGTTGGGGGTCTCCACAACATGAGGGTTAAAGGGCCGCAGTGTTAGATATGCTGAGAACCAATGGACTAGAATGGATGGTAAAGACACATGGGCAAAGCTGAGCTCCCATCTTAAAATGAAAACATTGCATGTTCTGGGCAGGGAATGTGAAGATATTTGGTGGAAGTAATAAATACCAGGTTTATGAGTCTAGTGATATGCTAGGCTATGTTGTTTCCCCCCACTTAATAAGGCATTGAAAACATGACTATAATATGTCATCTATTATAAGTAGTTCTGGGAGGAAAATACAAATTCCATTGTAATCTGTTAATGTTTATTTAGAAGCAATGCATGGAACAACAACATTATGCTTTTTGTAAGTAGGGAATCCAGGTTTCCCCCTGAATACCAAGTTTTGATTCAGCATTAGATGGATTCAGATTGAAAGCACAAGTCACAACGAAGACTGGCCTCAAAGTTTCTAAACAGTTACAACCCACAATGCCCCTGTGCTCGCTCTTTCTCCCATCTGCCCTGTAACATTCTGCAGTCCAGCAGGAGGCGGAGCAGGGAGTCTCCAGCAGTGCTCCTTCCTACTGCCATTCTGCTGGACCATCACATATGGCTTCGTGTAGATTCAGATGATCCTGTCTGGGTGATCCATTCAAGCAGTCGATTCATTGATGGGTAGGAACGCTGGAGTCCCAAGTGTGTTGTATGTGTGGTATGTTGTATGTGTGGTATGCAGAAGAACATTTCCCAGGGGTCAGAAGACACATTGCTTTTCTCCCCAATCTATACAAAAGGAGGATCTGGATTCTGGGAGGTCAACATGTTGGAGATGTAGGTCCTATGGTGTACTCCGTTCTGATTCCATTCTCACCAAGCTGAGTGAGGAGGACACTGGAGGACAGCAGGCTTGTCAGGGTTCTCACTGTAAATTAAGAAGTGGGATGTGTTTTATAGTGATGTTTTTACTCTTTTGGAGGGGCCTGCAACCCAGCTCCCAAATACAACACATGGAGGTTTATTATTAGTTATGAATGCCCCATCTTAGCTTGGCTTGCTTCTTGCCAGCTTTTCTTAATTTTAAATTATTCCATCTATCTTTTGCCTCTGGGCTTTTATCTTCCTTGCTTCTGTATATTTTACTTGCCTTCTTACTCCATGACTGGCTGGCTGGCCCCTGATGTCCTCCTCTCTTTATTCTCTCCTTGCTTTTCTGTCCTCAGTTCTCCTTTTGTTTATACTCTCTGGCTGCCAGCCCTGCCTAGCCTTGCTCCTTCCTCGCAATTGACCATTCGGCTCTTTATTAGACCTTCAGGTGTTTTAAACAAGCAAAGATTCACAGCTTCACCGAGTTAAACAAATGCAGCATAAACAAAAGTCATACACCTTAAAATAACATTCTACCACATGTGATTTCATGGACTGGTCCTTTGAGAGCTTCCTAGAGGACTGGTACGATGAACAGGTTGGGTGAACTCCACGCACTGGCTCTTTAAGGCTCTGAGCCTGCTCAGTTGACCTCAGTGAGCTTGTCCTGGAGAGTGCCACCCAGTAATCAGTAGAAGCAGCAGCTGGGGTCCAGGAAGACACAGACAAGAACAAAGTCTAAAACTGACAAAGAACAGACACAGGAGTGTGTCAGACCTAAGTGTAGATGTTCCTACCTAATGCACCAGGGGCACCAGACAGACACAAAGGAAAAGACAGAAAAGAAGGAGGGTCCCCACACTCACCTTCGCGAGGACCAAGGACATGAAACACTCAAGGGCCAACTCACTGAACAAGTCACTGAAGATGGGTGCTGAAACTCACCACGAGAGTGAAGAGGAGTCTGAAGGTGCAGATAGTAAAAGGGAAAGTGCACCAACATAGGATCCGCAGATGCACGGCCAGCAACAGAGGGCAAAGATCAGGGCCCTAACAAAAAGTAGCTGCGGTGATGAAAAAAAATACACACTGATTCAAGCCGGGATCGGTGAGCCCCATGTTGAGGCTTGAGATATTGTGGGTTACCCTGCTTGGACACCCCTTGGGGGAGGGAGAGAAAAGATGTAGCACCAATGATTCAGGCACTGAGAGTCTGAGTAGCAGAGCATGCTAAAGACTCATTTACTAAACAAGTTAGGCCTGCCTTTATACCCCCTCCCAAGGTCCCATTGGCTCAGGTGGCTGACTCTACTGTATCTCCTTTCTTGATTGGAGTCTCTGTGTCATGTGTCTGTCTGTCAGAATCTCTGAGCATTGAGGCAGGCTTGGCTCAGAGACGAAGTGCCTATTGCTGTGTGCATGCTCATCGGGGCAGGGGGGCCTGATGGGAGGGAGCAGGGCGATTGTGACTTGGGTAGACTGGCTGCAGTTTCTCCTACATGTTTATAAGCAGCTATGAAATCTGTGCCAGCCATTCCATCGTTTTGTAAAACTCACTTTAATGTCAAAAAAAAAAAAAAAACACCCAAAACAATCCCTACTTGCAGAGCTATGATTATGTTCCTAGAATGGTGCTTTTTAGGAAATGCCCGCTCCTTGGGGTCTACTAGTTCCGCGAGCCTACCTTGCCTTAGGCCAGTGGAGATGGGAAGCACGCTGCCAGTGATGAAACCAGCTGATAGAAGGGAGAGGAGACAGCTCTTGACCTCTCTCTTTTCTCCCAGCCACTAACATTCTTGAAAATATACGTGTGTTCTACACCGGCAGTTTCCCCATTCTCTTTGTATTCCAATTTATTATCTATTTTTACCACAGTCTAAGGTCACAGCATGCCAGATCTGATGACCCCATTTTAACTTTCCTCCAATCTGTTATCTCCTTAACCCTCCACCGTGATCTTGCAGGCAGAAATCTATCTTGTTTGTTATGTTTCTTAACCAGCATTTGTCACAAATCACAATGACTACTAGGTAGGAAATAAGAAATACATTTTTAATGCCAGAATGAATAACCTTTTCTCATTAGCAGATAACATTAAGCCATTGTTTTTATGCTTCAACATACTTTTTCCAAAAAAAATCGCATTTTTTTGTCTGCATTTGCTCATGGATGTTCCCCGGAAGTGGGGGGTATGACTCATATCACAGGTGACCAGTAGGAAAGTGAGGGATGGTTGACACTGGTGACTGGCATTGACTCCATGATGTTCCAGTTAGTCTAGTGACTTCGCAACAAATCACTCCCCAAACACAGCCACTCCAAACAATGATCACCTATTTCCTTTCCTGTTTCCCACTGCTCAGGAGTTGAGGAAGGGCTATATTGGTCACTTTTCTCTTCAAGTATTTGAGGGACTTATATGAGGATAAAGAAAATGAGGTGTCAGCTGGGGTGGTAGGAAGGTGAAGGTTTGTCTTGGATTAGAGAATCCAATTCCAGGGTGGCTCAGTCTCTGTAGCTGGGGGCCACTGTCCCTCTCCACAGGGCCGACTGCATGTCCTCACGCTTGGAAGCTAGTCTGCCTTAGAGCGAACAATTCAGGGTACCAGGGTGGAATCAACAATGTCTTTAGAACCTTGTCTCATATTTGTGGTGCATACTTTATTGATCATACAGGGTCTGGGGTAATGTAGCAAGTGATTGAATGTCAGGAAGTGAGGACATTAGAGAGTTGAACCTTGAGGGAAGCACTTTTGAACTGAGACAAAACTACATGTATATCGTCTTAAGAAGGTCAACATTAGTACAAATCCTGAAAAACAAAACAAAACAAACAACCCCATTGTTATTGGAAAGTGAATTGAACTTCTTGTGTGTGTGTCACATTCTCAATCTGTCACTTACGCAGTGGCAGGCTGCCTATGATGAGTTACTTTTTCGGTCTCCAAACAGTACACCCTTCTCACTGAAGGCCAAACTGTTTGGGCTGTCCCTTAGGCAGAGTATGTATGTACTGAAGCTGCCAGCAAGTCCCAGATGAAGTCACACATGCTTGTCTTCTGGCCTTGGATCCCTGGGCTGGGTCTCAGGGCTCCAAGACAACAGGACCACTGCTTCTGATGTGTTCTCATAGTGGCATCTGCACTCAGAGTAGACTGGAGGAAATGCATTTCTTTAGGATTGTTTCAAAAGACAAGGAGAAGGGCGGGAACTCCCTGAAAGCCTGGGGCACACCCACACAAGCCACATGTTCTTTGGTTGTTGGTTTTATAACCACTGTCCTCCACATCTGGGGGAAAGTCCGGGATGTGTTCACATGTCCTTTTTTATTTTCCCCTGTTGGTTCAGTTACTGCAATGCTTTTAAGTGATTAGAAACATTTAAAGGACCAAGAGCAAGAATTATGTAAGAAAAAATAATGGAATAATTTTTGAAAAGACTATATGATACACATCACCTTTTAGTTCATGAAACCAAGCAGTTAACTTTGAGATCAAATATTCTTGTTTCATAAGATTTATAGTATTTATTTTAAAATAACATAGTATAAAATAAAATAATGCAGTATTTATTTTAAAATATGCAGCTGAATGATCCAAATGAGAATTATAAGTTATAGTGTTGAACAAACGATATTTTTACCTTTCAAGACTAGTCAACTTTTAGTTCACAGGCTGACTTCCCTTGTTTAGTTATGCAAATGATCTCTTGCCTAGTTTTTATCATATTAGTTTCAGCTTAATTTCACTATCAATTTGTCTAGCAACACCTTACTATGTCCTAACACAACACACACACACACACACACACACACACACACACACACACACACACACACAACCTTTAACCTTGATTTTAGTAAGAACTTTGGTGTGATTGGTAGGGGAACAAAGGGCTTTTTACTATGAAAATACTCAACACTGACAGCAACTATGGTCTTGGCTTTTGATTCAAAAACTAGTTTTTAAGAATGAGCCAGTATTTTAACAGTGCTGTCTTCCGTCTTGGTCACCTTCCCCACTGTGGGGATTTCCAAATATGTAGTTTTTCCCATTTAAGTGGAACAATATGCATGTGAGAATCGATGTTTCTTGGATTCCACAAAACGCAGTGTGTTATGACCTCCAAGAACTCACCAATGGTGATGGTGGGGTGGTCCCTTCCTTCCACTAGTACTTTGAGATGAAGGAATGAACATCAGAGGCTTGCAGGAGTTATAGAAGTAGGCTGCTCTTGAAGAAATTGACTAGACACTCGTTTTTGAGCAAGGAAAACAAACCGCTTTAAGCTGGTTGCTCTGAATCCAGCTCCTCTGGCTAGCTTGTTTCCCTCAGAAGTCTGTACTATGATCACAACGGCTGGGGGGAGGGCAATCTTGGTTTTGATTGCTGTCGTTATCAGCACCAGTGTCCTGACCAGAAACTGTCTTCTCACTGCTCCTTGTTCTGTCACTTGTCCTTCAATACTTTATCTCCTCACTTGTACGTCACCGCCCTCAGAGAACCTCCTAAAGCCACACCGCTGTGTTGGGAATATCATTTTCAGATATGTTTCGCTTGTTTTAGCGATGCAAAGATGTGTCGCATCCTTTTATGCTGCATTTGTTTAACTCTGCGAAGCTGTGTTACCGTGCCTGTCTAAAACACCTGATTGGTCTCATTAAGAGATGAATGGTCAATAGCAAGGCAGGAGAAGGTATAGGAGGGGCTAGCAGGCAGAGAGAATAAATAGGGGAAAAAGAGGGATCAGGAAGCAAGAAAAGAAGGGACCAAGCACCCACCTACACAGCCAGTCATGGGGTAAGAGTGAAAGAAAGATGTATACAAAAGGAAAAAGCCTGGAAGCAAAAGGTAAATGGGACCATTTAAGTTAAGGACAGGTGGCAAGAAACAAGCCAAACTAAGGCCAGGCATTTACAAGTAAGAACAAGACTCTGTGTGTGATTTATTTGGGAGCTGGGTGCCCCACCCCCAACAAAGCAAAGAACAAAGAGCCAAAAGAGTAAAAAATAACCAATTACACCTCTGCAATCTGTATAGTTATTTTTGTTTGTTGAATTGCTGTCTTCCCCAGTGCTCTTTCGAACTCTCAGTCTGTGACCCTGACTCTCACAATAGCTATCCCTAGTGAGTGTTGGTGACATAGACTAAGTGTTGCGGTACCAATCAAAACAAACTAGAATCACACACTTATTCTATCTTGTCATTTTGATAGACTAGATGTGGTAATATTTAAAGTACCCCAGGCATGCATCAGGATCTTGGCAGCAGTCTGACTGCCGATGAGAGAATTTAATTCATTTGTTAACCAACACTTGATAGCATAATATTTGGCATCTTCTATTAATTACTAAAAATGTCGAAATCCCTTACATAAAAGTTACATCAAATTTGATTCAGTTGAAAAAAGGTATATGTTCTTCTATGTCTGTATCTCATTTGGAACAACTTTGAGGACTCTAGTTCTTGATCTAGAAAAATTGCTTGAATTGGATATTACCGGGAGGTGGCATTTTAGCGAAGCGTTAATGGATAGAAAATACGTTGGCAACGGAATCCTATAAGGATAAGAAGTAACAGGCAGGATAAAAATAGCCTGTCCAAGTATGGTATGCAGTGAGAGAGCAGATTTTGCAGGAGGCATCGCAGTGGTGACGGTGATGTTGCACACGCAGGAGAGATAGAACTGGGAGGTGGTAGCTAATGAAAAAGCGCCCCTACTTTTGTCTTCATAAACTGAAACATTTGCAAATTCCTTTTTTGAAAAGACAGATGATTTCCGGAAAGCTCTAGTAAGCCCTGGTTTGGTTAAAGACTCCGGAAGCAGTTGTGTAGGCTGTATCCTATATGAAGGTGTCTCCTGGAGTCCTGAGGCATGGCCTCCAGTCGAGTGGGACAAAGAGCATCTCCTTGTAAGGGGCATGGTGGCTCTGTAAGTGACAAGTGTTAGCAGAGGCGTTCACTGTGGTGACTGCAAGGGACTGGCATAGCCCACAGCTGTTTCCCTGAGATGTCTTTTTTCTTTGCCCCTCTAGGGTTCTGGGAGCTGCTGAAGAGTTAACTCCTGAGGTTAGCTAAAGCGGTTAGCTAAACCTCTACGTTTATTTGGAAGATTCTCAAAGGACATATGTAACAACAAGACCTCCTTTGTTAATATTCTTCAAACACAACTCACTATAAAAATCAAATGCAAGTTCTGCCAGATGAACTTGGGAATCTACCCGAAGGTTTAGTTTCTCAAGTGTCCACTCCTCTTTGAGACCTTTCAATACTTCCCAAGCAAAATCGAAAGTGGAATTACCCCGGAGGACGACAGTAGTGTCTGCGTGACTCCAGGGTGAATCTGGGCACAGGGAGACAGAAGCCAGGTTTCATTATTGTTCATTCTGACATTTCTCCTTCTTCCACATGCAATTCACATTAGAGCTCAATCTGATATTCTTGACGGCTGTGTTAGGTAGATGATGACTAGAACTAAGATAACAAATTAAGATGTTTCCTGGTACTGGGTTAAGTGATGAAATTTGTTTTGTTTTGTTGCTTGGATTGCTTTTGAACTCCAGGCTTAATTAAGCCCCCCCCCCACCTTAGCGTTCTGAGTAGCCAGCACTGTGGGGGTTTGCTGGCTAGCTTTATGGCAACTGAACACTAGCTAATGTCCGTCACCCAAGAAGGACCCTCGATTAAGAAATGTCTGTGTCCTTTGCTTTACATCTAATACCCATGTGTAAGTGAGTCCTTACTGCGTTTGTGTTTCTGAGTCTGGGTTACCTCACTCAGATGTTTTTTTTTTTTCCTAGTTCTATCTGGAACCTCATGAACACTTGACGACAGCTGTGGAGGCTCCATGGGACTGAACTCCCTGTTTGAGTCCCTGTCCTGACTTCTTTTGATGATGATCTGTGATATAATGCATAAGTATAAACCAAATAAACCCTTGCATCCCCAAGTTTGCTTTTGTTCATGGTGTTGCATCATAGCAATAGTAACTCTAACTAAGACGGGAGTATGCTACCATATCCAACAAAATAACACATTTTTAAAAATATGCTTAATTATTAATTCAAAAATGTCATACACTCTCAAAGGTAGGGAAGAATTTTTAATTAGTTATTCATCAAGGATAATTCCTTTTTTTACACGACCTAAGAGACATTCAGAATTAATTACTAAAAACATACATTGAATACAATATAGGCAAATTATTGCTTTAAAATTACTTTAAGTGTTTTCTATATTATGTTTTTATATTTCCTATAAAACAACATTCACTAATAAACACATTTCACACCTTGGCAGGTGATCTATAACCCTATAAAAAGATTTTTTAAAAACGCCAAAAGGTGTAGGAAAATGTAAGTGCTTAACTGGAGCAGTAACTTATGTTTTATATATGTGCTTGTGTACATACTTCCCACTGTATAATAGAGCATTTCAAATTTTAATGACCTAAAAAATAGTCATTTAATTAAATTTCATGACTCAGAAATTCAAGCAGTACTCTATTGTGTGTTTATTTTGTTCTGATCAATGAATCCTACTGAATGAGATCTGGTGAATGGATTCAACATGAAGCAATTCACATTGTCAGGAGATACTGAGAGGCAGGGATTAGCTGCCAGTCCTGGCCTGAGTCCTATTCCAGTATCCTTTCCAGCAAGGCACTATCAACGGAGGTGAATTTACATGAATGGCCAAAGTTATCAGAGGGAATAACCCAAAATAATATGCTGGAAATGCACACTTCTTTATGCCTTAACTTTGAAAACCTCAGAATATCTGTCATTCTAGGTTCTGTGATTCCAGGTTTTCAAGTAGCTAGGCTAGAACCAATTCAAGCTGTCTTTTTAATTTTTTTTTAATTTTTGAAATTAAAATATTATTGCATCATTTTTGCCCTTCCCTTTCCTCTCTCCAACCCTTCCCACACCCCCCACCACCACCTTGTTCTATCTCAAATTCACAGACTTCTGTTTTGTTTTAATTGTTGGTGCATATAGTGGAAGAGAGAGGGAGATCTTGTAAGAGACAGAGAAACAGGAGTTTGCTTTGTTGTCAGATTTCCTCTCTTAGAACTGTCAGGGAAGCTATGGCCATGAAGTCTCCTGGACATGACTGCCTAAAGAAGACCCGAATAGGGATGACACCAGTAGATAGACATGCTAACACAAAATGGGGAGAATCTCATGGGGCCTTAACCCTAGACAAAAACCTACATGCAACCAAGGCATCTGAAAGCAGAGGAAATCATCTCTTAGTCACAAGAAAACAAAGACAATGCAATTGACTTTATTCTACACACAGCTAGGCTAACTGGTGGAGCACCTGGGCATATTATCCCTAGACTTTCAGCATCATCAACCCACTATGGACTAACTAAACATTCACTTTTGCGTTATGTTCTAGTCCAGTATGAATGGATGATGAATGGAATCCCTGGATTTTAACAGTGTTGGATTGATTTGTTTTGCATCTACCCCATAATTTTTTTTCACCAAGTCATTATCCACAGAAAGGACAATTGGAGGTTCTCTGCAATGATGTTTATTTGGGAAGAGCAGAGCGTTGTGGAGAGAGTGGACATGCAACAGTAAACTGCAGATATAATCAAGAAGGTTTGAGGCAAGCATATGATTCTAAATTCAAAAAGAGATGGATTTACATAAGCTTCCTGGATGTCAAGATTCTAGGTTTGGGAGTTGAGACGACTTCGTTTGTATAGTAGGTAGGATTGCTAGGAAAAATGTTCCGCAGCAGCATTTGTATGGACTGCTGCAATCTTAATGTTAAGGATAATTTTTTTTCCTCCAGTGGGAGAGGCATGCAAAGCATGACGGTCTTTTAGAACAAACAGATCTTGAGAGCCAAGAAACTACTTACCTCAGACAGGCATGAACACACCCTCCCCCAATAATACTGTCTGGCTCTAATTTGGTCTGGGTCTGACAAGAAAGATTTTGTCTTAATATCATCAGTTTTTATGATATCCTGACCAGAAAGCTCTTTTTGTGTGTATTATGGGTTCATTATTAGTTTTAGAGTCTCAGCCAGTCATAAAGTCATTAAAGGTCAAGCTAGATACCACTCTAGAGAAAAGCCTGGCTTCATTTTGAAGATGAGGAATTGGGATCTCAAGAAGCTATGTGACCTGCCCAAAATCAGCAACTAGGGACAGATGCTACGGTATTGCAGTGTTTGAAAATAAGCAACTCTTATTTATCTACGGGAAGGGCATACTCCCCTACCTTGATGTGTATTTTCTAATTACTAGTTTTGAGTACACTCGATTCATAAAAAACAACAACAAAACCCAAAACCCTAACCCATTTTCTTGGTCCTATTCGACAATATTTTCTGAGCACCAAGCTCCATGCATGAGCCCAGGCAGTGATCCACAGCAGAAAATGTCCTGTCCAGATTCGTGTGCAGGAAGAGTGCTCTAGCTTCGTGAGATTTGTTTCATACTCTATCATTTTCGGATTCTTTGACTGTTAGTTCACCTTGAAGTAGTCTTACCGAACGGTTCCCCTTGGAACCATGAGTCTGAATCCACTTAGAACCAGCCTCTTTGTGGTACAGATTCAGAGACTTTCCTGCATGGAGCACACATGTGAAGAGGGCAGTGTTAAAACTACCCATAGATGAAACCATGCTGGTCTAGTTCTTACTGCTCCTTTGTTTCAAGAGTAGTTTGCTCTTTGACTGGGGTGACAGCTCTGACTTTTTTATAGACCTCAGGGACTCTAGGTGGCCCTAACTACCGTTCCTGAAGCTTGGATTTCCTCTTTAGAGGGTGCACTGTCACCATTCGCTTTTGTCTTCCGTTACTGCAGCTAATTTGTCTTCCTCTTGGACCAGCCGGTGGGGGCGGGGGCTGTGGGCAGGACCGGACTGGGGATGGAGACACCTCCTTCCACTCTCTGACCTGGGCGGGATCAGTCTTCCCGCTTAGCTGGGAGGAGCCCCAAGGGGGCGGCTCCCGGGCCAGATGGGGCGGGGCAGTAGCTGACCCCTGTCCACTCCTGGGGACCGTGGAGGTGGGGGGCGCGTCCCGGAGGGGCTGGTCGACCGCGCTCGGGAGTGGGTCGGCACCTCGGGGGCGGGGCGGCGGCGGGATGGGCGGGCTGGGACGCGTGCGGCGGCGGCCCCGGGGCGCCCGGCTCCTCCCCGCCAGTGCGCTGGAGCGCCGTTGCCCCGCTGAGCTGTGCGGCGCGGGCCGTGCGAGCTGCCGCCTGCGCCCCGAGCGGAGCGCGGCCATGCCCGGGCCCTGGCACTAGCGCGCTGCCGCAGCCTCTTCAATGGGCAACCTGCTCGGCGGGGTCAGCTTCCGCGAGCCCACTACCGTGGAGGACTGCGACTCCACCTGGCAGACCGACTCGGAGCCCGAGCCCGACCCCGAGCCCGAACAGCCGGGGCCGGCAGGCGGTGGCGAGGGCCAGGAGCACGACGACCCGGAGCAGCCCGAGCAGCTTCCCGAGAGAGCCGGAGGGCGGCCCCGCGCCAGCCCCGTGCCCGAGGACCACGCCGAGGCGGCGGGCGCCGAGCAGGTACGCGGTCCCCGGACCCGTGGTGGGCCTGGCGGGACTGAGCGCCCCGGCAGCGGGGAGGGGACAGCGCGCGGGCCCCCGAGGGTGCAGGGCGGGATGCTAGGCGTCCGTGGCCCGGGCACACGACCTGGGCGAGCCTGAGATGTCCAGGATCGCGGGGATGGCTAGCTGCTGGCCCGGGGCCTTGCTGTTGAGCACCACAGGGAAGTCCCCCAAGGCAAACCCCGACTCCACTAGGTGTTTTCTGTGTCTGCAGCGCAGCTGGGAAATACGAAGGTGGGTTGGGAGGAACCAACCTAAAAATAGAGGGTTTTGAGGACCCGGTCTGTGTGTGTTACTGTTTGTTTAAAAAAATTATTCAGAGCAGGACGGAACTGCAATTTCCGAGTAGCCCTCAGTCTCTCCCCCCCACCTCAGCGGGGGTCCACGGCCATTAAAAGTATTGCAGAAAGGTTCCTGTGCAAACTTAATATTCCTCGGTTCTTTTCCCCCAAGACAGACCTTTCAACGACTTCAAGACATTACTTAAACACCTTGTTTAACCCAGAAGACTTGTTGATCCAACCAAGCTTAAATCAGTTGACCAGTACAGTTAGGCAGAGAGGTTAGAAGAGAGAGCAAGAGAGATAGTGTCCCTTTACCTCTCCTAGCTTTAGAAACTTTTAAATGGAGAGGCTGTATTTTTAAAAGAAGTCTGCAGTGTGTTTAAGGTTGGTGGTACCGTATTAGGTCTCCCCTTTATCACTTAAGGGAAAATGGAGCCCGAAGTCCAATGTGAAGCATTTCTATGGGAACTAATTGAGCATGTTATTAAGATGGAATGCAATTTCGGGGTATGCATGTTGTTTTAATTCCCCATTTTGGAGAATTGTGAGCCTTCCAGAGAGGATCTTGCCCAGAGCATAAAGGGAAAGAAAGATGCAAACCTAAGTGTGTCTGTCGTCAGAGTGAGCGCCTTGGCCCTGATGGGTGGGATCCGGGCCATCCTTCCCTTGTGCTCTGGTTTGCACCTTAGCATTGCGTGCTCAACCCTAAAACAGTATTACATATCGTATCTCCGTGTTTTGTTTTTCCATTTGTCTCCCAAGTAAGTAGCCATCGACAGAAGTTTGGAATACTACAAAAAGAAAGCGGTAATAATCTAATCAACTAGGTCAATCTGTGTAAAATAGCATGGTAGCATTTAACCCAGTGTGCTGAAACCTGGGTAAAGAGTGGACCACCCGTTAATGGCTACTTTTTTTCCCCTGTAAGTACCACCAAACTTCTTAAACAACCTTTTCGCTTTATGTTTTGGCTCTTCACCTTATTTGTTCTTTATCTGGAGCAGCCAGTTCCCCTGTTAAAGTAGGTTGCTGACTGGCTTCTCACCACTTTCTCTGCCGCTATCCATTTCTCTGTAAACATTACACAAAGGATGGTACCATTAACCGAGAAAGCCTGGGGCGAAAGATGCTTTAGCGGTTATGTCTTATCTTAAGTTTCCCATCCTATTAAACATCCAAGTGGGATTGTAGAGTAGTTAATGTTATCTATAAATAGATGCTCAGGCTAGGACTGGAGCTGTAGGCAGGCATTTAGGATTAGTTGTACTTAAAAATCAGTGCAAGATAAGAGCTCATCAAGGAGTCATGAGGGATGGGAACAAAGATTCTGACCCTACTCCAGTAGCTGTCAACCTTCCTAATGCTGGGACACTTTACACAGTTCCTCATATTATGGCGACCCCCAACCATACTTACTTCATAATTACTTCATTGCTACTTCATAACTGTAATTTTGCTACTGTTTTAAATTGTAAATATCTGATAATGCCAGACACCTGGTGTCCAACCCCTATGAAAGGTTGTGACCCACGGGTTGAGAACAATTGCTCTATACAGAGGGCGTGATTAACAAGAGGAGCCAAAAAAGAGGGGACCAGTGACATTGGAAACAAGACAGGAGAGTGTGGTATTCTGACAGCCCAGTGCTAATTGCTTCAGGGTGGGGGGCCTTAAGGAGTACAGTGCTGCTGGGGAGTCAACTGGGATGGTCACTGAGAGGTGATTTGACCAGACAGAGATTTATTTGGAAAGACCCTGGTAGTCCCACTTTAATGCAATGCTGTGGCCAGAGCCTTATGTAGGTCATAGGGTGGGCTCTGGAAGGATAGAAAGTATGCATAACTCTTTGGTGATGATTTGCTTCGAAGGGGAGCAGAGGTGTGGTTAATACTTAGGGTAGACTTGGGTCAAGTGAGATATTATGCCTAAGTTTAGTGAAACTATAGCGTGCTTGCTGGTTTCGGGAATGGTTTGGAAGAGCGAAGTTTTGATGATCTAGGGGGAAGGGCTGAGGAGGTAAAAGAAGCCAGGATACAGGATAGATACTGGCAGGGTGAAGGATGCAGTCATTTGCATGGCAGTCTTGGGATACAGGCAGGACATAAGTATGTCTTCATTTCACAGCTGATAAAACTAAGATTCAGCTAAGTGATTTACTGAAGGCCTCACAGATATTAAGTAGCAAAACCAAGACTCACCTTAGTCTCTTGACTCCAGATCTTGGGTCATTGATCTTTATAACAGGCTTTTCAAATATCCATCAGTTTTAGCAGGGATGAAACTGTTTCAGACCTAATTAGGCAGGCAGGGAAGCAGCTAGTTCTTCACTGTTGCTGGACTCTGAGCCTTGTTCTGTTCCTCTAAGCTCCAGGAACCTTGTTTTTAAGACACACACACACACACACACACACACACACACACACACACACTAATGACTGCCAGTCAGGTATGTTGTAAGACTCGAGTGAAGTAATATACATGCAAGTGTTTTGTAAATGGCAAAGTGCTCTCTGCAAATGCCGGTGGTGGTGATTCATGTGGTTGTAGCTCAAGCTAAGTAGATCCCGAAACTTGCTAGGCAGAGCTATTTTGAAAAGTGTGGCAAGCACCAGAATTGAAGCCTTTCCTTGCTTATGTAACATGACAGTGTAACTGCCGTTAGACATCAGAGGATTTTGGTGTTAAAGTGGCTCTGTACTTGTAGTAAGAGTGAGAATCACACCACTTCAGAAACGTGTGAAAATTGCTTAGAAGGATGCCAGTCTGTCAACACACATAGAGGGTGGGAGATGACGAGAGAGACAGGGTTGGAGGCAGCTTTCTTAATGAATATTCATATTTTAACACAGCAGTCTTCACTGTGTTCCATCTCATTGGCCTGCATGTCACCGGACAAAAGCATTTTGTCATACATGATATGGTCTGGATAGCTAAAGGATGACAGACTTTGCATCTTGTCGGTGGACAATGACATCGCAGAGGTTGAACTCTGTAAGCAGCACGAGTGAACTACCACATAGAAAGTACTTCAGTCAACATTCATTCCTCCCCAGAGCTCTGTCTTGCTTTGTTTATTTATCTCAAGTTTGCTGATTTATATCCTATTGATCGTTGTAATGGGCAGATGATTATTCATGCCTTGTGTGTTTGTTATGGTGCTTTGAAAGAGTTTAGCAAGCTAATTTAGTTTAAAATCCCCCTTCCCTTTCATAAATATTACTTGACTTTCAAGTGCTGCTCGGGGATGCAAATGTAATGAGAATCTTCTGTGTAGAATTGATTTGCCATCTTAACCCTTTCATTGTACTATATAAAATAAACTTTGTCATAGGTTCATCTCTCATCTGGTGAAACATGTTTTCAATTCATTCAGAGTGCTCTTCTGGATCAATCTTGATCCTTAGCATTTACCCCCCAAAAGGCATGGAACATTTTACTATTTAGTGAATTGAACGTTTATTATTTAGTGACAGACCTTAGGACAAGAGTTTGTAATGCAAACAAGGAAGTCATGGCAGCAAGGGCTGTTCGTGAGCCTCATTCAAGAGAAAGCGACATAATCGTTTGCTTTATCTGCACGGGTTGCCAATGTTCAGGGCTCTTTATGGATGTTAAGTATTTTAGACTTTGTTCTGGAACTTTCTCGGGATCATTCTCTGTGTAAATGGAGTTTCACTCTGTGTCTTAGGGTGGTGATCCCACGGAAGCAACTGCCAAACCAAAGAGGAGCTTCTACGCTGCCAGGGATTTATACAAATACCGACATCAGTACCCAGTAAGACAATGAGTTGATTTCCCCCCTTGCATGTAAACTCTTGTCTTTCTGTTTTTCTGATTTTACTCTGCCGTAAGAAAGCATGTCAGAAGGGTCCTTGTGCCTTGTGTGTGTGTGTGTGTGTTTCCATATAGTGGAGATTAATATATTTTTTCTTTTAGCAGAACTTCAAAGATATCCGCTATCAAAATGACTTGAGCAACCTTCGCTTTTATAAGAATAAAATTCCATTTAAACCAGATGGTGAGTAAACCACCTTGGTAAAATGCAAATTTTAAATCCTAACAGATATCTGGGTGTTCATTCCTTACTCTGGAATTCGTGTATTCTTGCTGCATTTGTTGGTTGGTTAACCTTGTTTTGCCTTGCCATGCAGGGTGATGTGTTCCTAGAGCCCAGAGTTTTAGAGTTGTGGTCTTCCACTTAGTGAACTGTGAAGAAATATTGGTTACCATACTCTCTCATTATCTGTGTGTCAAAGTGGTTATTGAAAAGGTAATGGGAGCAGGTTTTTTGTTTGTCTGGTTTAGCTTAGTTTTTTTTTTTTTTGACTTTTTGATGTTGTTTTTTAGGCTGTGTGGGGGGGGGGCACAGAAAAGAGGAGAGATTTGTAGAGCCACAGAAATTCAAATGATTAGATTTTGAAGGGGGGTTGAATTCAGCTTTTTCATCTTGAAGATGAGGTAACTGGAGTATGAAGCCTAAATGACTGGATTGCTGGGTCACTGAAATGATTTTAGAGTGGGGTCAAGTTCCAGGGTTAACTGTTCTTTCTGCTATGCCAGGCCTAAAAATTATTTAGAATATTAGTTAAGATATTGCTTATATCTAGAATTACCTTTGCCACTTTTCAAAATCAAGGGTTGGGAAACTACAGCAACCCAGTCGAAACCCTGCCAAATCAACGTGCCTCCTTCGCAATTGTACAACCTCCCTCATAGCATAGGAGCTTTCCCAAACCCATAATGAACATTCACAGTTGCTATGGTAATTTGATTACAAACTTGTAAGAAAAGAACAAGGCAGCACACTGTGCCTCTCAATGGGTATCTGAATTGTGTATAGGCAAAGCAGAAGCCATAGTTTCCTTAGAGGTTTAGTGTGAGGTGACCAGATTGTCCTGATTCTTGTCACTTGCTCTTAGTGAAAACTGAGTGACATTCATGAGTCAGCTACTGAAGGTCCTAGATCAGCCATTCTCAACCTGTAGGTCATGACCACTTTGGTGGTCGAATGACCCTTTCACAGGGTTGCCTAAGACCATCGGAAAGCATAGATATTTACATTATGATTCATAACAGTAGCAAAGTTACAATTATGAAGTAGTAATGAAAATAATTTTATGGCTGGGGGTCACCATAATAGGGGTAACTGTATTAAAGGGTCCCAGCATTAGGAAGGTTGAGAACCACTGCCCTAGACTGTAAGATGTTCTGGCTGACATTGTTACCCGATAGAAGCTCCAGTCTTTTGTGAAGTGTGAGCCTTGATTGGCAAAATAACGCCATCAGATTGGTCTGTGGAAAGACCTAGGGAATTTTCTTGATTGATGGCTAATGTGGGAGGGCCTGATGTCACTAGGGACAGTGCCATCCCTGGGCTGGTGGTTCTGGATGGCATAAGATAGCAGGCATGTGAGTCGTAGGAAACAAACCAGGGAACAGCATCCTCCATGGCCCCTGCTTCAGGTGCTGCCTCAAGTTCCTATCCTGACTTCGCTTCAGTTATGGGTTATGATGTGGAAGTGTGAGCGAAATAATCCCCTTCCTCCTTGCGTTGGTTCTGGTCATAGCATTTGTCACAGCAATACAAACCCAAAGCCATAAGCCTTTCAGAGTGTTGGGATCTTGGGTGGTTAAACTGGAAGGAGGGCTCAAAAACTGGATGTTGTATTTGGGAGAGGGAGTCCTGATTCGATGCTCTGAGGAGTGTTGCCGGAATGGCCAAATCCAACGAACTTGAGCTTTTTGGGGTCCCAGAAGTCTGAAGTCAAACCTGTGGACATAGATGCAGTTGTATTTACCACTGATTTAAAAAAAATGCTAGTGAAAAATGACTCCAGCGTGTTAAACCTGTGTTACGATTCAATATAAATTTTCACACTTTCTGGGAGGGTCCTAGGTGACAAGCCACTGATCTTTGAGAAAACAAGAATGAGATGAGTTATGGGTTTGTTTTGTTTTGTTTTATTTTATGTAAAATTAGCTAACTGACCAATTATAAGGACCTTGACAGACTTGAGAATCAACAGGATTTTATTAAGTTCTTATAGGACAACATGGGTCATAATAAAAGGGCTTACTTTCTACAGGTACAAAGACCAGTGTTCTCTGCTAGACTGCCTTGTTACTAGTGTGTGACTCTGAAGAAATTGCTATTATTATTATAATTATTATTATTAATTTGCTAATATGTAGCTTTGAACAAATATACCACTTAAGACTTGTTTTGTTAGTCACTTGGAGATGATAATGCTGTTTGGAACAGTTTTTCTGCACAAAGGCAGACAGCAAATACATTGAGTTTTGCAGAATAGTCCGTTGTAACACTAAAGTCTGTGTTGTACTAAAAAAAAAAAAACAGCATTGGACAGTATATAAATGGTGTGCTTGTCTATGTTCCAATAAAACTTTATTTGCAAAACAATTATTAGCCCATATTTGCCATCCTCTGCTTTAGAGTACATTACCCAGTAGAGAGTTAGTAATTTGAAGTGCTGCTATTTTTTTAATTAGGCTTATTGTATTACCGAGTATATGACATAGAGTATTCCTCTTTTAGGGGTGTTCTTGTATGTTGTCTTTAAACTAAATGTTTTAATGTAAAACTCAGGTGACTTGTATGTTAAAATGCCATCATCATGTTTTAACGAATGGCTCATTTTCTAAATATTTGCTGTTTAGGTGTTTACATTGAAGAGGTCCTAAATAAATGGAAAGGAGACTATGAGAAGCTGGAGCATAACCACACTTACATTCAATGGTCAGTTAAATGTTCTCCACCTTGAACTGTGTCCTGTTTAATCACGTGTTCTCATGACAATGTTAACTGAACATTTTTATTTTATTTTTAACAAACTAGGCTTTTTCCCCTGAGAGAGCAAGGCTTGAACTTTTATGCTAAAGAATTAACTACATATGAAATTGAGGTAATGCAAGCTCAACTCATCTTCCATGAGATAGCCAAATAATATCCTGACTTTATTGTCCTGACAGCTCCAATGAACTTTCTTCTTCCTTCTTAAATTAGGAATTCAAGAAAACAAAAGAAGCAATCAGAAGATTCCTCTTGGCCTATAAAATGATGCTAGAATTTTTTGGAATAAAGCTGATTGATAAAACTGGAAATGTTGCTCGGGCTGTAAATTGGCAAGAAAGATTTCAACATCTGAATGAGTAAGTGGAGCCCCAGTGCTAAGCCCGGTGGCCTTTTCCTGTGGCCCCATTCTCTGGAAAGTAGGACTAGCTAGCCCATGGACATAGGACTGGATAGCCAGTGGGCATAGGACTAGATAGCCGGTGGGCATAGAACTAGATAGCTGTGGGGCACTGAAATAGCTAGCTATTGGGAACAGGACAAGCTAACTGTTGGGCATAGGACTAGTTAGACACTGGGCATAGGAACAGGTAGCCATTGGACATAGGGATAGCTAGACTTTGGACATAGGACTAGCTAGATGTTGGGCATAGAAATAGGAATCAAAATTCAGTCAGAAATGCATTTACTCCTTCTTGTACATCCTAAAGCAAAGCACAGCAACTCCAAAGGACAAATTCTACGTAGAGCATTGGCTGTTCTGCTCCAGAGCGTTTTTCTTCCTAAATCCTCTGCCTGCAGCCAAATGTGGCTTCTCTCCCTCTGCGCCACATTTCATGGAGTTTATAGCTATTGCTTGCTTGTAGTTTCTCATGTACTCTCTCCTCTCTCCTAGGCTATAGGCTGCTTGCAGTACAAACGGTTTCTAATATCTTTATGCATGCAAACGTCTTAGATTAAATTCGTGACTGAGGTCTATGATGAATGAATGGCTGCATTCAATGTGGCCATACTTCTAACTAGGAGGAAAAGTTATCTTCATGAATTAGGTAAAAGACAAGTACCTATTTCTGGTTAATTCTAAAATCTATAAAGGAAGATCTAACAGCTTTCTTGGATGGGTTTATCTGTACTCTTTTGCTTGAATATGTATAATGGTAATTAATACTTATAACCAAAGTTTAGTTTTAAAAATATTTTCTTCATATGCACACTGGGTTTTTTCTCCCATTTTTAATTATAGAGTGACTTATAAGTACTGGACTATAAAACCAACAATTTTTTAAGACACTTTTTTAGCAACTTGTAATTAGCTGAACTGGGCAAGTATTAAGGAAAAAAAAACTAACGTAAGTGATTTCTCTTTGGCAAAAATAATCAGAGTCTTGGCATCAGCTCTTTAAATTTTTTGCATCTTCCTAGAATTTACCCTTGCTTTGGTAAAAGGAGTAGAAATACTAGTGTTGGGGCATCTTTTTCCTATGTTATAAGTAACACTATTAAAATAGTAGGCTCTGCTAAAGCCTTGAAAATATGGGCATAAAGCATTCTGATCCTGAGACCCGCTAACTTCTATGCTTAAGTTTGATAGATTAGCTGTTTAAAGTGTATATGTATCTACCTGCGTCATGCAGACAACCATGTCTGGACAGTTTCTAAGCAACCTTGTGATGCTGTTGAAAAAGCTGTCTGCAAGTCAGCCGTTAGCAAAAGTGATCACACCTCACTTTTTGTGTACTATCATCTTGCAATTTCTGCTTGGAATGACAGTGTCCTTTGACGCATTGAAGTTACAAATCCTGGGCAGAATGTGATCAAAGCTGAAATCCTCCCCAGGGTGTCATTGTCAGGTCTTTTCATTTAGAGCCAAAAACAGAGCTCTTTCTGAAGGCTTTATTTAATTAGGTTGTCTCTTAGCCTCGGTTGGAAGAATGGCCTGAATTCACAGCCTTTCCACTCTGTCCCACCTAGCAACCTCTCCTCCTGCCATCCAGTGTCTTTCTGCTTTCCTAGCCCTGAATGAACACTCCTAGGCAAAAAGAAAAAAATTGAATAAAATATTTTACATGTATATTGTCTGTGCATGTGCCCACATATGTGCAGATGCCCAAAGAAGTCAGGAGATCCGGCGGAACTGGTGTTCCCAGGCAGTTGGGAAATGCCTAATGCAGATGCCGGGAACCAAATATGGATTCTCTGCAAGACTTTTTTTTGAGACAAGATCTCTGAGTCCAGGCTTCTTCAAAATTGCCATCCTCCCGGCACTGTCTTCCAAATCCCGGGGTTACAGACACGTGCCACTGCGGCGTCCTCACTGCCAAAAGTTTTTATTGATGGCATTTGAGCAAATGACGGGGAATGATGTAAACATGCCTCCTCTGTTTTCAGTTTCGTTTGGATTCTTCTGTGACTTATCCTTAAATGTCATTGCTTATATGTGATTGAAGCCGTGTGACATCATGAACTTTTTAGAATAGTCTGGGATTTGGTTGTATTTCTAGCTCAGTGGAGGAAAACTGTTTAATCAGGGTAACACTAAGTAACACTGAGCGGTCAAGGGACCGTGATAAAATACAGTGGTGAAATATGTTCAGGCATGAAAGTACAGATATGCAGATAGACCACCAAGATGCTTACTTCTCATGGCGATGTCAGCTAACCCGATGCAAGCTGCTCTCCTAGATCACTGGCCCCCAGATACGTTAATAAACAAGGTAACACTGGCGAGGATCCATTCAATCCTAGTAGTTCTTTATATGAAGAATCTCTTAAAGAGGAGAGTTTGTTTTTACATTCAAGTTTCACATCAGTTACATTACACTGAGGCTTCAGAGTTAAAAGCTTTCCATTCTCTGATTTTATTCAATTCTCTCTTTCAGGTCGCAGCACAACTATTTAAGAATTACACGAATTCTGAAAAGCCTTGGTGAGCTTGGGTACGAGAGTTTTAAGTCTCCTCTCGTAAAATTCATTCTCCACGAGGCTCTAGTGGAAAACACTATTCCCAATATTAGGCAGAGCGCTCTGGAGTATTTTGTATATACAATTAGAGACAGAAGAGAGAGGAGAAAGCTCCTGAGGTTTGCCCAGAAACACTACACACCGTCGGAGAATTTCATCTGGGGACCGCCTAGAAAAGACCAGCCAGAGCGAAGCAAAGCCCAGAAAGCTCCTACTCTGCCCACTTCAGGTTCGAACAGTCAAACTTCTATGCACAAGAAATCTAAGGACTCCAAAAATTCCTTAGTAGCTAGTCACCTAACTAGCAAAACTGTGGAAGAAAAGAAGGGGGCCTCCAGAGAGACCGGGGAGGAGACAGACAAGCCAAGCCCGGAGCCCTGCAGTGAAGATACCAAGCCAAGAAACACAGAGAAAGAAGACAGTGCTTCTGACGAGTCAAATCCCCCACCCGAGGAGAAAACAGTAACAGAGACCACAGGAAAAGGGGCGTGTCCAACTTCTTCTGAAAGCATTAGAGAGGGGGAAACCCAGAGCAAAGACTTGGAAAATCCAGAAAACACCAGTTGCCAAGATGAGGTAGAGTCACAGTGAATTGTCCCAAACCCACAAACCAGTTCCCTTTGAGGGAATAAAAAAGTTGTCTAATTTATCCTGAAGAACAGAGATGAGGTCATGTATAAGATGTTAGCCATCTGTAACTTTTGTTATAAGCCCTTGGTTCTTGCTTTTGGATCACAATGAAATTGGATATTTAGTAAGAAAATTGTAAAACCGGATCCAATAAAAGATTATATTTAGGATATGTCTCCAAATTCTGTATATAACAGTCACTTTAAAAATATTTTCAAGTTATCTAGAACTAATAGAGTAGCATTTGGTATTCAACACGCTCTCTCGGGAGATCGATGCAGAAATGAGAGCCTCTCATGATGCAGTCGCTCACCTGACTAGTATTCGCTTTGGAACTGGAAGGATGAGCCAGGTGCTCTCAGGTGTAGCCAGGAAGAAATCTGGGCTCTTTGGTAGCAGCACTTGAGTGTTCTCAGCTTTGGCTCTGCAATGACTGTCCTTCCCACTTGTCTGCTTTCCTGCTTCTTTCTGTCCCATCTTCGTCAGCTTCCACCTGAGTGTTCTAGTATGTGAGGACTCTCCTCTACTGATGTCCAGGTGGAAGAGAGGGGGAATTCTAGTGGTCTGATTTCAAGATTGTTTTTTTAATGTTTAGAATAATAAAGGTATTTTCAGTAATAAGTGCTTAGAAAGGACTTGTGTGTATGTGCGTGAAAAAAAATCCAGAACAAAAATAGACCGATTCTTGTGGCTGTTCTATACACAATTGGTGATTGATTGTGGATGTGAATCACAAAAGTTACTCATTTTTAAGATGTCTCCCCACACTGTCAACAAACACTTTTGTCCTTTCAGCCCTCAGTGTATTGATGCCACGAGCATTATGGGATTACTGATGTCACTAGACCACAGTGTCTTTATGTATGTGTGTATGTTCACCTTTAGTTTGTCATTTTGGAGCTGAGAACAGTTTGCAATGACATGTACTCAATTTTTAGTAAGCACTAGATATATTGCATCGCGTTGGCGAAAAGTTTTATTTTGTACAGTTGTTGCTAGTTGCTATTACATATCCGAAGACAATCAGAAACACTGTGAGGGGAACTTGAGGACATTCATACAAACACAGACAAAGAAATTAGCCGAGAATTTTTTACTTTTTTTGTTCAGCAAGGAGTTGCCTTTTTAAAAACCTCTCTTCGGCTTTGGAGAAAAGTCCTGGATGCTTTCACTGCAACCCTCCTGCCCCGGGGACCTTTTACTGTGTCTTCTTTCCTGGCACTTAGATCCCATCATCACCTCTTTGGGTTTTTCCCACCCACACTCTCAGTGCTGATTCCTACAGACTACTCGCACCAGTGTCATGCTTTTAGAAATAAGATTTCCTGTTTTTAAATCTACACAACACAGCCCTGTTGCTTACCTCTGATTTCTTTTCCTTTTTCTGTGCATGAGAGTGGCCTGGGAGTGTGTAGGGGGTTGTTGTGTATCATACCCCAGTTGGTAAGCCACAAAACATTCGTCCTTAACTGTAATCTGACAGCTTTAGTTTGCTCCAATTTACACAGGGTTCGGGGATGAACGAGGACTTCTTAGTCCGAATTGTAGTGATATGATCAATTTAACTCAGAACGTCTTAATTTTGAACACGCAGTGAAGCATTCAGATCACTTTAAGGGTACTTAGTATTTAAAAACAAACCCATGGGATCAAGAGGGCTGGAGAGATGGCTCAGAGGTTAAGAGCACTTGCTGCTCTTCCAGAGGTCCAGGGTTCAGTTTCCAGCACCTATGCTAGGTGGTTCACACCTGCCTGGAGTGCCAAGGGGTCTGGCTTCCAGGGGAAGTGCATGCATGTGTTACACATACACACATGCGCAATACATATTAATAAGTTTTTAAAAAAATAAACATGGGCCAGACACTAAAATTATTTTCTAAAAACAAGGTACAGGAAACTGAAATTAATACAATCTGAATCATTTAGAAATAATGGTGTACCAGAACCCTTAGAAACGAAAACATGTAACAATTTAGATCTTAGACTGTTATTTCCTATTAATGGTTTTTGTAGCTTGTACTATTTAACTTGAGAATATTTAGTCTCAAGAGGAGAGAGCTCCCTGGCTTCCATCTAAAATAGCGGCCTTTTTTCATGATGGTTATTTAGACTGCGTATTCATAAGGTGGCAATGTTTCCTACATTTAATCTGTATATAACAGAGAGAATAACTCAGTGAAGAACAAGTTAAAGGAAGTCATTCCTTTTGCTGATAAAAACTGAACATCTCAAATTCTTTTTCTACTAAGAGCACTTTGTACATTTCATAGTTTTTAAACATAAGATGTAGAGGTGATGTATTTATGTGTGTGTTAGATTATCAAACATCCCTCTGAATTTGACTTCTATGTTTTGTGTTTTTCAAACTATCATATGCTTACAGAAATTGCTACAAAGCTATTCCAGAAAATGCTGCATAGCATGGCCAAGTGGTTAGACACATTGCTGAGCATCCACAGGTGTTCTCATATGGTCTTTGTTGTACTGTGGACTGTAAGGACACTAAGTGTTGCTATTGATAAAATTACATTTCTCAACACATAGATGTCATATTGCTTGATTAGCCTAGTGCATTTCTAATATTTTTTGCTTTCATATTTCAGAGGAGAAAATATATGTGAAGATATTTTGAAATACTGTAAAGTGATAAATAGTTTATATATTTCTGTATGGTGGAGATGTTTCTGATATTAAGATTATTATATCATTCTGCATTTTGAGCTCATTTTCATGAGAAATTCTAAATAATCCATGGTGGGCATAAAAACAAAATCTGCTTCCTCTAAATTAAGCCTGGTTTTCAGTTCTAAAAATATGGTGTATGGCTTTATTTTGTTTTAGGTTTTGAAACTATATTTTTCAGTTTTTGGCAGAGAAGGTGTATAACTCAGGAGTGTTACTAAGAAAGTTCCAAGGTTTTTTTCTTATCCTTTTTTTTCTTTTGGTGTTACATATATAAATACATGAACATGTAATAAAAACCTGTCAGTCATGATGCTTTGTACCACACCCTCCTGACTTTCGAAGTTTACTAGGAATGAAGGTAGGATGGGTTAAGAAGGAAAAAAACACAGTGAGGTAGTCCTTAAAAAAAGCATTTTGGTAAATAAACCTACATGCCAAATGGTAAAAAGAAAAGGAAAGTTAAATGAACAAAGAATATTTGGTTAATTGTTTTAAAGTCAAAGTCTCCCATTTATGATAAAGTGATTGAGCCAAGCAAATGTAAAACTACTCTCTAGGCGCCTCTAAAATCTGTGGTTTGTAACACAAGAACATTTTAAAATTATAATAATAATACATACACAGGTCTTTAATCACTATTTGGAGTAAGATCCCTTATTACAGGAGTACTGGGGAATAGTCTGTTGTTTTCCCACTTAGAATAATTTCCTTTGCCTTTCAGTGTGTGTGTGTGTGTGTGTGTGTGTGTGTGTGTGTGTGTGTGTGAGAGAGAGAGAGAGAGAGAGAGAGAGAGACAGAGAGACAGAGAGACAGAGAGACAGAGAGACAGGGAGACAGAGACAGAGAGACAGAGAGAGCGACAGAACGCTTGTGCAGAGACAGAGACAGAGAGAAAGAGAGACAGAGAGACACACACACAAACAGAGAGAGAGAGAGAGAGAGAGAGAGAGAGAGAGAAAGAGAGAGAGAGAGAGAGCGCTTGTGCACACGTGCACACAATGAGCTGAAATTTAAAATTTGACTTGCTAGAACCACTCTAGCTAGGGGTAGTTTTAGAGGAAGATGGCTAGAGTGAGTTCTGGACCTAGGAATACACATCTACTCGCCTCTTTGAGCATTGGGTTTGTAGGGTTTATTGCAGGAACAGATTTGTGTGGGAAAGCTCTAGGGTGACAGTGAGTACTACCCTGCCTCCCCCATAGTTCTAGTGAGCCAGCCCACCCAGCAGATTGCTTCAGGGACAGGCTGCTTTTAGAAATCTCACTATTGAAATGAATGATATAATTCTAATATGAAGGCCTAGAGGTTTCAGGTGTGCCTTAATGAATGTAAATGGTTTTCTTTCAGAAGTTTACATCACCAGCCCATTGTAAACTCTTGTCAGTGGAACCTTCCAAACCTTGAGTATAAGTCATGTTAATAAAATTTGAGTTGATCCTTTATCATTTTGGAGAAATTACCATTTAATGACAAGAGCACCAATTCCTAAAGTATATTCACCACAGGTTTCAACAATATGTCACCTTTGCCCAAAGTGTTCAGAGGAGCAAAGAGTTGTCTGTGTTACTGTGTTACTTTCGTGTTACTCAGTTCTTTTATATGCTGGCTCAGTGAAACATCCTTTGGTTATTGCAAGTCATAGTGATCTGTTTTTACATTCTGCTCTTGCATTCAGATGGCTACATGAAATGGAATGTTATTATAGAAATTATTCAAGCCTCCATTCTAGTAGTTGTTTTGAGGAATCTTAAAATAGCTTGAAAAACCTTCTTGTTACATTCTTAGTAGGCATGCTTTAAAGGCTTGTTCCTGCTTCCCCATAGATTAGAGAACATATTCGATGTCATCTGCTCTTGCCAATTCTGTTGTGAAATTTACTGTCTTGGTTGTTTGTGGAAAGTGACTTCCTGGTTTGTGTTTTCTTGAATTAAAGTTTTCACGTGGAAAACCTTGTGATGGACTTGTGTTGTGGTCCTCCTAACCCTGGCTAGCTGGAAACGGAGTTCAGAGGAGATGTGGTTAAGAATCATGAGGGCATACTGGAAGGGAGAGCAGGCCCCTTTCATGGCCATGATGGGGAGTGGGGGGAGCTCTTCACAGACAGATCTGGTTCATGAAGCGACTGGACCTGTGTCCTGTGCAGCCCAGCGATGATAGGCCTTCTTAGATTCCAGGCCTGAGATCAACGGGTGTTGTTTTTCACAGAATATTTGCTATAATTTATTTGCTACCATTTATAGCAGTTTAGAAATTAGTGAACAAATGGGCATCTGCTATGTAAATTAGTTCTATCACTATATCTGTCCTTGGAGACACTAAAATATCACTCTTCACCTTGGTTCTTCAAATTTCTTTTGAGCTGTTCTCCCATAGGCTTGTTGTATTTGCCAGTGTTCTCTAGAGAAACAGAGCTTATAGTGTGTGTATATAGTATAACAGAGCTTATAATATATATGTCATATATATATTCTTATAACAACTT